TTAATAACCCGTTATACGGTAAAACAGTTGAAGTATATCAATTAGGGAGTCGGCAAGATTCCAGTTCCACTCAAGCAAGCCTATTTCCCTCAGCTGTGCCTTAGAAAATAGACTTGCTCTTGGGGAACAGGAATCTTGCTGACTCCCTCAAAGATATACTTTAACTGTATATACAGTAAAACTTGTCTAATCGGGCGACCAGTGGTTCCAAATTTTTTGGCCGAATTAGACAACATCCGGATTGGAGAAAATTGAACTGTTATAGCAAGTTAATAATTACATAGATATAAACAAAGAGTGGTAAATAAATACTTTATCAAAAGTGTCAATTTTTACATTTCACTTGAAAAAAAATCGTCCATTTCCGTTTGTTTTGAACTCTGTTTGTTCTTCAGAATTTTCATTTCTGTTCAAGTTTTTTATTCAGTATCGAAATATAATATCTCTTGGTCATTTATCAAATTTGAAAATCGTTAAATGTTTTAAACACACTCCAAAACCTCATTGTAGCTGTTAATATTATTTTGTTAGGGACAGATTCCTAATTAATTTCTTTCTTTTAAAATTAATATGTTTGAATATTTAGACACTGTATTTGTTAATTTCAAATGTTATACATGTAATGAATATTGAACCAAAATCTTCTGTCGCTATGGTCGTTGTAAACTAGCGACACAAAGGGAAGTAATTCGAATTGCACATTGTGCACGCAAAACGAAAGTAGAAAGGAGGTCATGGATAAGTTGTCAAGTTTTACTACAGACATGGTACACACAACCATCACTAACACTCATTCTTTTGTGAGTTTCCTCGCCTTACTTGAGCCATTAATGATTTCTTTTTTTATCACGTTTGTTAAAATCTAATCTGTCGATACAGGATAGATCATTAACGGGACAATAATTACCCCCATGCGAGACTTCTCTAATGACCAGTGGGCACAGGTAAAAATAAGTGGCCGGATTAGAGGAGATAATTTGTACTAATTATGAGCAGTTCTTTAAATAGCGGCCGGTTTACAGAATAGGCAAGATCCGGATTGAACAACATTTATTAAACATAAATTATAAAGAAAATTCAAGGGACTAAAACATTACGCCGGACTGAACAACATGCCGGAATGCACAACATCCGGATTCAACAAGTTTCACTGTAATAAAATGAATTTGTGCTGACGTGTCGATTGACAATGGTTTTCTTTGGGGTGTCAATTTCAACTGTTACCCTCAAAAAACATGCACTTTTTATAAAATGCTTGAACTATTGTAGGTCACCAAATTTTTACACCTTATTTATGATCAAGTCAATAGGTGTAAGCAATTTTCAAATAATTTTCATTATTGTTTAATATCCTTTTAATGGCAGTCTCATAATAAATGATAAAAATGGTTAAACCGAGTGAGATTTTAGCCAAGGGTACTTTCCTATAGGACAGCCTAAGGATAATTAAACTGATCTAAAATTCCAGGTTCATATAGCCTAGGTTGATTTACCATAGAATGGCCAGAGATTTTGCATACAATCCAAATATTCTGAAAGTAAGAAAACATATAGTTTGAAAAATCAGATGATTGCTGTCTCTCTGTTCATCTATCTGTTTGTAAACTTTCACATTTTGACTTCTTCTCAAGAAGCATTGGACTGATTTCAATCAAACTTGCCGCAAAATATCCTTGGGAAGAGGGGGTTCAAGTTAGTTCAAATGAAAGGCCACTCCTCTTTCCAAATGGAGATAATAATGAGTTGTAACATCTTCTCAAGAACCACTTGGCCAGGAAAGATGAAACTTAAATGGAAACACTCTCAGGTAGTGTAGATGCAAGTTTGTTCAAAACATGATCCTCAGGGGTAGGGAAGGGTCACAATTGGCTATCAAAGTTTAACATAGGAATACATACATTGTAGGAATAATCTTTAAATATCTTTAGAAGAACAGCAAAGCCATGTTTGGTCATATCTATAATGAAGCATCCTCAGGAAGTGTTGAGGCAATGCAGTGTGTAAATAATGGCCTAACAATTTGTATGAAGAAGTCAGTCAAGCATTCACTAAAAAGGTCATTGTATCAACCATAAAAGACAAGTGCACTTAAGCAATGCTTAATGGGCCCTTTTTCAATGCCATTTTACTTCAGAATATATTACCAAATTGTTCTTTTTTGGTAATAGTTAAACACAAGTAGATATTTCTAATTAAAAACATCACCTAAATCAGCATGGATGTGAAACAAATGAAGATTTTTAAATGTCTATAGATACCCAAAATCCGAAAAAGTCGTACCGAACCTATTTTGATTTTCGTTTATTTAAATCAAGGGGAGGAGATATTTAAATTGGACACTTGAACAATCTGACGGTGATCACTGATGGGCACGTTTTCCGAATGTTACTTCTTGCGCTATTTTACCTGAGAAAAAAAAATGAATGAAGTTTTATAGATGCCCGTAGCCATAGTGATCAAACTAAGAAATTTGCACGCTTGCATTTGAAATAATACAGTAAGTATTAACATTAGTTCCTTTAAATTTTAAAATGAAAAAAAGTGTATTTAGGTAGTTTTCAATACTGGTACCATTGTCTTGCATGAATGTGAAAAATGTTTGATGTTTTTATGTATGATGGACAATTTTGAAGACACTAAACTCTCCTAACCCTCCCGTGATTATAAAACCAAATACATACAAACTTCTCTATGCGACATGATTTGATATAATGATACAAAACGTGGCTATCTTTTACAGTGAGCACCTTTGAGGAATGTTTACTTGGGTAGAACTCACATGACTACCGGTATTTTAAATAATTTATTCCACGGGTGGGTTCAACAAAGGTCATACAGGTAAAAAGCTCTCACTTGCTATAGGAAAAACATTGAATTTTTCATACATTTTTAATATTTTAAGTACAAGCCTAATCTTGTACAAATTTCCTACTTCCACACAAGTTTTGTAAATGTATAATGCGTTTTTTGTCCCCCGCTTTCACTGAAAGTGGGGGATATTAATTTGGGTGTGTCTGTCCATCCGTCTGTCTGTATTTCTGTTTGTCTGTAACACTTTCATTTCCACGTGATATCTCGAGAACCCTTTGAGCTTTTGCAATGAAATTTTGTATGGCAATTCCCTATGGCCAAAAAAAAAGACCCTATTGATTTTGAGGTCAAAGGTCAAGGTCATAAATTCTGTCTGTTTTAACACTTTCGTTTCCGCGCGATATCTCACGAATTCATTGAGCTTTTGCAATGAAATTTTACATATTAACTCCCTGTGGCCTAAGGAAGACCCCTATTGATTTTGAGGTCAAAAGTTCAAAGTTCAAGGTCATAAATTCATACATTCCATCTGTGTGTAACACTTTCATTTCCGGGCGATATCTCAAGAAGCTTTTGAGCTTTTGCAATGAAATTTTATACCATAACTCCCTAGGGCCTGTCTTGCCCCTCTCAAAGTGTCCCACCCCATTTTTTTATTATTATTATTGTATTAAAAGTCGCTTGGCACTATTTTTAGCACAGGGGCATGTGGAGAGTTATTACATATAATACAGGTTGTTGGCAGACTTTATATTCTTATTACATCTATTAGAACTGTTTAGTAAAGGCTAAATTAGACACCATGTATTGTGTAAAATTTTGACAATATTGAACATGAATATAAACATTATATGTGACCTAATGTTTGCATTTAATTTGCTCTATAATCAAGTGCTTCAGTGGTCTAGGGGTATGACTCTCACTTGTGAAAGGTGCCGGGTTCAAATAACGGACGATCCCCCTTTTTTTTTTTGAATTTTTTTGGGGGGTATTTACTACATGATAGTATTCAGCATGTGAAATGAAAAAGTAATGACGTCTGGCTTGTACAAACTCATAAAATCATTATTACAGTGTGATAAATATTCTATATAAAAAGAATCTTCTGTACACATATTAAAGAATAAGCAATCAAATAAACAATCAAAGCTTTATATCCATATTTGCATTTTTATTTGCTTCAATATACACGTAAACATTTAATAATTCTACAAATCCAAGGGGGGAGGAGTCTGACCTCCCCCCCCCCCCTTCGATCTCGAAGTTCTCTATCTCTCGAACCAAGACCTGGGTCCCGTTACACACATTTCATTGGTTTTTACTGTCTATCTCTCGAAGTTTCGATTGCACGTGTGTACACACCAATCAAGCATAAAATTAATGCAGCTTGGACTTACCTGGATAACAGTGAACGCCTGGGGCTGGCATGGAGGTGTTAATTGGGTGTTTACATAGATGACACTATACCTGTGAGCATATCCGAGTGTTGATATAATTAATTGGCTATACATGTGTAATTGGTAAATTATAAACGGATTGCTTCACATTGCTTTATTTCGACTTGACAGCGAGACGATAATTTTTAGAAAATAATTTAAGAGACGTGTCAATAATTTTCCATAGATTATGAAATTTTATTAGAGTCTACATAATCCCAGTATGACAAACATTGCATAAGAAATCCTATCTCAAGAACTGAATACCTTTTTAATATGAGAAATGTGGTGAAGGACCTAATAAAGCCCGGGGGTAGCCACACCAACGATCGCTATTCAGGTTTCATGTAATTATGAAATGGGAACAAATAAATACTAAAACTTAAAAAGATCATTTTATTTATTCAAAATACGATCATTGTTGTTGAAATCGAGTGAATTACCTCTAAAATACGAATGAAAACGTGCAATGACATTATCAGCATATACTTCTGGTATTTATAATACCGGTAGTAGAACAATGATGACCGGAACTGAAAATTCCGGATTTTATTCACTTTCTATCTCTCGAACTGCTCAATCTCTCGAACTTTTCTTGCGGTCCCTTGAACTTCGAAAGATTGAGAGTCACCTGTATATGATTAAAGATTTGTATTTGTGCATGCAGAGTCAGTATCATATATGATTAAAAATTTGTATTTGTGCATGCAGAGTCAGTATTCTGAGTTATGTATGTTGTATGAATATTTTCAGCCCTCAGTCGTCCAATTGTGTATGTAGACCAACTTCCAGAGAAAAATGGTTTTAACATATCATGGAATTCTGTCAGTCCAGTCAACACTGTCAATATGAAAATATCAGGTATTCAATGATCTGTTAATTTTAAAACATTAATATTTCATCAAGAACCTTTATAACTGTTGTATACAATTGAGAATAAGGAACTATGATTTACCAAAGATATCTTTTTGACAGCAGTAACATAAAAAATCTGTATATAAAAAGCCAGGTTCATACACCCAAGAGTGATTTCTTGGAGGACAGTCTCAATGTAATAAAATAGATATAGAATTCCAGGGTCATAAAGCCAAGGGTGTTTTACTCTAGAGCATCCTCCATTTGCCCCCAGGGTGAAAACGAAAACTTTGAAACTTTAGTTACACATCAACAGGACACCACCAATCATTTTCCAAAACAGTTGGTTACCGGAAAAAATTCAAGAGGAGTTCAGAAAACCATGTTTTTTTGAAAAACTTTTTTTTTTATCCCCAGTCATCCCAAGGTGGAAATGAAAATTCCTAAAACATATTGCACATCTTAAGGACACTCCAAAATTTGATTGAACTACTGCAAAAAATATAAGAGGAAAATCAGCTACGGTCCCTGAAACGTTCTACTTTCCCACTTGAACAATGAATAAATGGCGAGAAAAGGCTGAATGAATGCAGAGCAAACAGTGAGCGAATGCAGAGTGAACGGTGTGTGAATTCTGAAGAAAATTTGATGAACAGTTAGCAAACGCAGAACAGAAACGGTGTGCAAACATGAGTGAACGGTGAACGAATGGTGAAAGCAAGATGAATGATATATTTGGAATGTCGCTGATCTTTTCCTTAAATTTTATGTATTCTGTTTTATTCTTTTGTCAGGTACACAAAAAAAACAAAGGAAAAAAACATAAATACATCTCCTAAATAAATAAATTTTGGAGTGCGGATATTACCATACCATGTTAAAATTTAACACTTTCAGAACAAATGAATAAATAATGCATGTATGAATGAACAGTGCTCCAAGTTGGGACTAAAATTAATTTTACGACTAGAAATCAAAACCAACTCGCATTTTTAGCTCACCTCAACGAAGTCGGTGTCGGCGTCAGCGTCCCAGGTTAAGGTTTTTGGAGCAGTTTTCTTTTCAAGTAGTTCTATGGCCTATATTAGTCAGAGATGCATGGAGGATGCTTCTAGTGTGTTTTATTGTACCAGTCAAGGTTTCAGATGCTGCAATTTCAGCTAAAGAATGACCAGGTTAATGTTTTTGGAGCAGGTTAAAGTTTTTGGAGCAGGTCTCATTTCCAAGTAACTGTAAGCCCTATATCGACCAAACTGGCATGGATGATACATCTAAGGATGCACACTACCGGACTTTAATTCGGATGCTGAATCTGACCTATATTTTATGGATGAGTGACCAAGTTAAAGTTTTTGGAGCTGATGTCATTTCCAAGTAACTATAAACCCTATATTGACCAAACTTGCATGGATGATACATCTAAGGATGTACAATACTGGACTTGCTTCGGATGCTGGATCTGACCTACATTTTCCGGATGAGTAACCAGGTTAAAGTTTTTGGAGCAGGTCTCATTTCCAAGTAACTATAAGCCCTATATTGACCAAAGTTGCATGGATGATACATCTAAGGATGCACACTACTGGACTTGCTTCGGATGCTGGATTTGACTTACATTTTCCGGATGAGTGACCAGGTTAAAGTTTTTGGAGCAGATGTCATTTCCAAGTAACTATAAACCCAATATTGACCAAACTTGCATGGATGATACATCTAAGGATTCACACTACTGGACTTGCTTCGGATGCTGGATCTGACCGACATTTTCCGGATGAGTAACCAGGTTAAAGTTTTTGGAGCAGATCTCATTTTCAAGTAACTATAAGGCTATCTGAACTAAACTTGCATGGATGATGCATCAAGGGACGAACAATCTCAAAACTTGCTTCGGATGCTGGATTTGACTTGCATTTTCTGGATGAGTGACAAGTTTTAAGTTTTCAGATAAGTCTATTCCCAAGTAACTGCAAGCCCTATCAGACCAAAATTGCATAAATGTTGCATCTAGGGATGCACACTCCTAGATCTAAGTTTAGTGTGGGACTTTGCCTTACTTAAAGACAACATTCCTTGAGGTGGGCTCTGTAATCTCTGATTACCTATGTTTGTGACTGAGAAAATTTGGGCCAGTGATTGTCCATTTTTATGATTGGGATTGAGATTACTTTTTCCAAGATTCTCTATCAAGACAATTTTTGAAGACATTCCTAAAACTTTGGTAAGCATTGCAAAGACAGATTAAGTATTGTTATGACAGCATGCTGCATAGAACGGCTGCCAAATACCTTTGAAAACCCAACCTTGTTAATGGAACATTTGGTCAATATTGCTTACATATCATCATGTTTTGGCGATATTAACAGCAACTGTTTAATAGGTTAGGTACATGAAAATAGTACATGTAATAAAGTAAATAAGAGAAACAGCTGGCAAAGTCCTATCTCGAAGTTTCCACCTGATGCACACATCAGTCAAACCAATTTCATTGGATTAAACTTTAATTCTAGGATAAAATCTCTTGTGTTCTAATGCTGTGTACAACCATGTGGGTGGTTCTATGTAATAACAATATTTAAGTGGTTCCTTCAGCCTAGCAAATTGTTTAGTCACAATAATAATTAAGTAATCTTTGATTTAAAAAAGACATTATACATGTACATATATGAGTGTTTGTTCTTTGCTTTTATTAAATACTTAACGTGTTATTCACAAAATGTTTTCACCATGGCAAGTGAAATATCTGTTGATGATGACCAGAAATTCTGAAATGGCAACCAAAAAAAATTTGGGTCGCCATTTAGCAACCTGATAGTAAGTGTGACTTGGAGCACTGATGAATAAATGAATATTAAATAAGTAAATCAAGGTTCCCACATTGTTAGCTCACCTGAGCTGAAAGCTGAAGTGAGCTTTTCTGATCACCTGTTGTCCGTCATCCTTCTCTCTGTCTGTCTGTCCGTCCGTCTGTAAACTTTTCACATTTTAAACTTCTCCTCAAGAACCACTGAACCAGTTTTGACTAAAGTTGGTACAAAGTATCCTTGGATGAAGGGAAGTTTAAATTGTTAAAATGAAGGGCCAAGCCCCCTTACAAGGGGAGATAATCAAGAAAAGACAAAAATAATGTGGGGTCATTAAAAAATCTTCTTCTCAAGAACCACTGGGCCAGAAAAGCTAAAACATGGAAGCATCCTGGGGAAGTGTAGATTCTAAATTGTTCATATCACGACCCCCAGGGGTAGGGTGGAGCCACACCTTACAGAAATTTCTGATAAGTGACTTATAAGTGGTTTATTCTTTTACTTATAAGTTGTTTATACTGGACTTATACTTCACTGATACATTTAACTTATAAGTGACTGATTAGTGACTCATTAGGATTTTATATGCAAATGAGGTGCTTGACTTATAAGCCAAGTATTAGCCACTTTTGCTTTATGCAAGTATAGTCACTTATAAGTGACTTATAAGTCAAGTATTAGCCCTTTATACTTTATCAAGTATGAGTCACTTATAAGTGAAGTACAGCACTGCCTCTAAGATCTTAATTTAGAACAGAGCTTCAAATCTTGCAGGGGTTGCATGATGTTCAAAGTTTTTTTTACATATATACATATGCATCTTCACCTGAGATAAAATAATTAAGTTAACATTTTATGAAGAAAAAAAAATTCCTCATATGACATTCTTTGATGATGCAAACTTTATATATTATTTCAGTTCACAAACAAAAATGTTTGACAAAAAGAAATCAATTAAGATTTAATGACCTTGAGGTTTCTTCAAATTTATGAAATCTGAAAGCAACTGAGTCAATTGATTCAAAATTTCAGGCAAAGGAAGTTAAAATAAAAAGATAATGTGAATAGAACCTACTTGTTGAACCTGATGTAAAGGCATACTCAAAATAAATTTGAAATCTCCAACAACATCCTTTCACAGAGACTAACTTAGTTTCAAATTCTTGTTGTTTATCTCTTTAGAGACAAAGTTTCTGATTGGTTAGCTTGAATACCCACAATGCAACTCAAGAGAAGTCTAGTATAGTGTAAAAATTCTAAGTCCACACTTATTCTGGCTAATACCATACTGATCTTCACTTATAAGTGAAGTATAAGTGAAATATTCACTGATATTTGGCTAATCTTCACTTATAAGTGAAGTATTAACAAAATCTGTTCCTCACTTATACTTACTTTGACTTATAGTACACTTATAAGTAAATTTCAAAACTTATAGGTGACTTATAAATGGCTTATAAATGAAGTATAAAACACATAAGTTTCTATTGTTTTTTTTCTGTAAGGGTGCAATGGGGAATCAAAGTTTTACATTGAAATATATCGGAAAAAACTTTAAAAATCTTCTCAAGAACCACTGGGCCAGAAAAGCTGAAACTTACATGGAAGCATCCTGGGGTAGTGTAGATTCTAAATTGTTCAAATCATAACCCCTGGGGGTAGAGTGGGGCCTCAATGGAGAATCAAAGTTTTACATTGAAATATATAGGAAAAATCTTTAATAATCTTGCAAGGAAGTATCCTGGGGTAATGTAACATTTAAATTGTTCAAATCATGACCCCCTGGGGGTAGGGTTGGGCCACAGTACGTATTACGAGGGGAAAATCTGTTGAAGAACAGCAGGGCCAAAGTTACTCAGGTGAGCGTTGTGGCCCATGGGCCTCTTGTCCTAATTAAGATGATACATGCAGATTAAGTATGCATGTTAATTATGTTTCTTACAATATTTTCTGCATATATTATGCACATGTATTATATTTAAATTAAGCTTTTCAATCACAGACGATTTATAGCTGTAAAACATTATAACTGATACCAAACTCTGTTGTTAAAATAGAGAAAATTATTCTGTAAAATAAATGTTTATTCTTATCTGGACTATGAAACCATTACAAATGTTGTAGCTTTTAGAAGGGAAAGAGATGACCGACTGATGGGATCATGTATCTCCATACAAAGACTACTCTGTGTAAAATAATAAAAAA